TCAAGCTACACTGGCTCCCGGTGGAGTACAGGGTCAGATTTAAGGTGCTGCTTTTGACCTTTAAAGCCCTTCACGGCCTAGGACCCTCGTACCTACGGGACCGCCTCTCCTGGTATGCCCCACGGAGAGCCTCAAGGTCCATAAATAACAACACCCTAGTGGTCCCAGGCCCTAAGGAAGTTAGATTGGCTTCAACCAGAGCCAGGGCCTTTTCAACTCTGGCTCCGGCCTGGTGGAATGCTCTGTCTCATGAGACCAGGGCCCTGCAGGATCTGATTTCTTTCTGCAGGGCCTGTAAGACAGAGTTGTTCCGCCTGGCCTTTGGCTTGAAGCGAATTTGATTCCCTCCCTCCCTCTCTTTCTTTTTTCTTTTCCTTCTCCTCCTGCGATGAGGCTACATTTTAATATTTTAATGTTGTATTTTATTTTTGTTTTTAAGTTGTAATCATTCATCTTGTTTTTATTATTGCTTGTAAGCCACTCTGAGCCCGGCCTTGGCTGGGGAGGGCGGGGTATAAATAAAAAATTATTATTATTATTATTATACATTTAAATCAATTGAAACAGTCACAATTCCTCCCAAAGGATCCTGGGCACTGAAAGTTGTTAGGAGATCTCTTCTACCTTCACAGAGCTATAATTCCAGGAGCCCCCTGGCAGCAGAAATTGCAGACCCTCCAAGTGTCCTTATTTTCCAAGGACAGTCCCAAATTGACAGAAGCCATACCAGTTTCTGATTTCATCCCAGAATGTCCCGTATTTCCTTAGGATGTCCCTATTTTCATCGGAGAAATGTTGGAGACTGATTGTTAAACTATAGCCCTGTGAGGGGCACAGGCAACTTCAAACAACTCATAAGAACCTTTAACAAACTACAGTTCCCAAGATTCCTTGGGGGAAGTCATGATGGTCTAAAATGGTATAAAGGTAAAGGGACCCCTGACCATTGGGTCCAGTCATGACTGACTCTGGGGTTGCGGCGCTCATCTCACTTTATTGGCCGAGGGAGCCGGCATACAGCTTCCGGGTCATGTGGCCAGCATGACTAAGCTGCTTCTGGCGAACCAGAGAAGTGCACGGAAACTCCGTTTACCTTCCTGCCGGAGCAGTACCTATTTATCTACTTGTACTTTGACATGTTTTCGAACTGCTAGGTTGGCAGGAGCAGGGACCGAGCAACGGGAGCTCACCCCGTCGCGGGGATTCGAACTGCTGACCTTCTGATCGGCAAGTCCTAGGCTCTGTGGTTCAACCCACAGCGCCACCCGCGTCCCACTAAAATGGTATAGTGCTGTTTAAAATGCATGGTGCAGATGTTGCCATTTCTGTCCTGCGTGTACAGTGTGACTGTGGCCGGGAGGGGGGCAGGGAAGAACCATCATGCAATCTCTGTTGTTTCTAGAACAATGATCTATGAGACATACCATTTTATGGTTTCATAGTATGTACTGTCTTTGTAGTGTGGTCCCCTGTGGAACTGGGGCTGGAATCACAGCCAAGGCAGAATCCCACCTTGGAGACATTTCAGACTATACCTTAACTTGAAACATATTTGAATAATGCATGGAAGACTAGAGTCTTCTTTGCCGTGCTTTCTGCTCAATATCTTTCACACAGAGCAAACCCTCAGAAAGGTGTGCAGGCCACCCTCAACCCATCCCTCTGTTCTCCAACATGTGGTCATGAGCATTAATAGTGCAAATCCCACCACTGGGACCAAACCTGTGTTATAATCCCAAGTTAATACCATGGAGAAGAAAACCGCTAGATTTCTCTCATCTCCTCTGTGTGTGCGCTCTCTCTCTCTCTCTCTCTCTCTCTCTCTCTCTTCCTCCCAGACTCCTCTTCTTAACAGATAGGGATAAATGTTTTATGCCTTGTTCTTCACAGGATGTGGAAAAGTAAGATACAACATGAGAATGGGGAATTATGTGTCAGAAAGTATAAAAACAAGCAATCTCCAAAACTTACTTTTCTTCCCCCCACTAACCAAGGCGGTTATGGAGATTTAAGAGCGGCAGAAATTAATGCTGCAGACCTAAACACAGGAAGTAAAGCCCATCAAAGGCAATGGGGCTGAATTCTGAGTAAACTGTTTGCGAGTCTACTCAGAAGTAAGCCGTGTTGCATGCAGTGGGACTTGCTCCCAGGTAAGTGTGCATAACAGGAGCGGGGAAACCTTGTCAACCCCCTTTCTGGGGGCCCCATGTCAGTGGTGAGCAGGACAAAAGGTAGAACCAGATGAGGCAATGCCTGTGACTCTTGCATTTGTATAGTAGATTGTTTTGTAGCCATGCAGAGATCAGAGGTTTCTCCAAACATGCACATCCCTCCATCCAAACAAGCAAGGGGCATAACCACAGCAAGCACACTATTCTAGCCATGTACTTGGAAACTAAGCCTTATGAGGAGCTGGGTATGTTTAGCCTGGAAAAGAGGAGACTGAGATATGATAGCCATTTTCCAATATTTATTTTTTTTTAAAAAAATAAATAAATTCAAAACCAAAAAAAAAAAAAAATTGCAAACATCAAATTCAAAATCCATATTCATTTTCTGACATAAGCCTATTACATAGATTACCTAAATTAAAATATATCTAATTGCTCTAGGCTTCCCTTTGCTATACAGTGGTACCTCTGGTTGCAAACGGGATCCATTCCAGAGGCCTGTTCGCAACATGAAAAGAGTGCAACCTGCAGCGGCGCGTCTGCGCATGCACGGGTTGCAATTGCCGCTTCTGAGCATGCGTGTGATGTCATTTTGTGCTTCTGCGCATGCGCGAGTAGCAAACCCTTTCCGGTACTTCCAGGTCGCCACGGGATGTAACCTGAAAGAACGTAACATGAAGTGGACATAACATGAGATATGACTGTATGTAAGTACAACGCAATTAACAAATTATATTATAAATGATATTATAGGCTACCATATTACCCCCACTCCCCTTCACCCATGTGTGATCTCAATATTTTACTTCTTCCATCTTGTTGTGTTGTTATAATTTAATAGTTATTCAATGATTCTATTATTATTTTCTTGCTTACCCCTGCATGTTTTACACATTCTCTATTAATATTTCAATTCTGGACCCATATTTCTTCATGTATTCCTTCACTCCATCCCACTCTCTAATTATTCTCTGATTTGAGTGGCCTCTAATAATTGCCGTCTTCCAATATTTCAAGGGCTGTCACATGGAAGAGAGGGCAAGCTTGTTTTCTCCTGCTCCAGAGGGCAGGACCCGAACCAGTGGCTTCAAGTTACAAGGAAGGAGATTCTGACTAAACAGCAAGAAGAACTTTCTGATAGTAAGAGCTGTTCGGCAGTGGAATGGTCTCTCACAAGAGGTGGTGGACTCTCCTTCCTTGGAGGTTTTTAAGAAGAGGTTGGACGGCCATCTGTCATGGAAGCTTTAGCTGAGATTCCTGCATTGCAGGGGGTTGGACTAGATGACCCTTGGGGTCCCTTCCAACTCTACAATTCTATGATTCTATGACATGTAAGTGGGTCCAGAGAAGAATGTCGCATGGGATAATGGCATAGCCTTGAGGGCCAGATGGGGAGGACTGGTGAGCCACATTTTGACTCCTGAACCTGCAGTTTCCAGGTATATAATATTGATACCTAAATTACTACCTGCCTGTGGACTGCCTTGCCAGAGTGGTGCACACTCTAGTTATCTCCCGCTTGGACTACTGCAATGCGCTCTACATGGGGCTACCTTTGAAAGTGACCCGGAAACTACAACTAATCCAGAATGCGGCAGCTAGACTGGTGACTGGGGGCGGCCGCCGAGACCATATAACACCAGTCCTGAAAGACCTACATTGGCTCCCAGTAAGTTTCCGAGCACAATTCAAAGTGTTGGTGCTGACCTTTAAAGCCCTAAACGGCCTTGGCCCAGTATACCTGAAGGAGTGTCTCCACCCCCATCATTCTGCCCTGACACTGACGTCCAACGGTGAGGGCCTTCTGGCGGTTCCCTTGCTGCGAGAAGCTAAGCTACAGGGAACCAGGCAGAGGGCCTTCTCGGTAGTGGTGCCCGCCCTCTGGAACGCCCTCCCATCAGATGTCAAAGAGATAAACAACTACCTGACATTTAGAAGACATCTGAAGGCAGCCCTGTTCAGGGAAATTTTTAATGTGTGACATTTTAATGTATTTTTAATCTTTGTTGGAAGCCGCCCAGAGTGGCTGGGGAAACCCAGCCAGATGGGCAGGGTACAAATAATAAATTACTATTACTATTATTACTATTATTACTATTACTATTACTATTACTATTACTATTACTATTACTATTACTAATGCTCCTGCTTGCAGCAGCAGTCTGAAGCAGCTGCTGAGTGGCTGGGTGTATGAGAGACACCCAGATAGAGGCAAGGGAGGTGAGCTGTCCGTTGCATTGTTCCTTTATCAAGGCCAGTGCCTGTTTTCTGGTTCCTGTCTCTACTAACTTATTCCCCCCTCCCTTTTTCTTTTGGGAGAGATTGTACAGAGATGCCTTTCTAAACATTTTGCTAGGATTAGGGATGTTGGAGAATTCCAGCAGGAGTAGAAATTGCTGACGTTCACTTATTAGTCCCATGTCCGGAACAGAAATCAATCCTTTGAATATGATCAGTATTCACTGTTGTTGGTAGTTTCCGTCTGCAAACGATACACAATTGATTACATCCCTGCTCCAACACCATTTGCATGGGGTCTCCTTCGCACTGAAATGAATGAAGTAGAACAAGGTAATGACAGTGTGATTTGCATAACTAATTATGTAAATTACATAAGTTACATAATTTCATTGCAGCAGACCATGAGACAAATAAAGAAGTTTTTCATGGAAAGCAAACTGCAGTGGAATGGAAACTGTGTTGCATTCTGTGATGCCTTCTTATATCCCTTGTTAGGATGAGTCCTAGTGCTATAGTTTCCCTTCCACCACCGACCCATGAATTACCATCCTGATAATGAATCCTGCTCAATGCATTTGACCTTCAGAGTATAGCTCAGTTGGTAGAGCATGTGATTCTTAATCTTGGGGTCGTGGGTTTGAGCCCCACAAGTGGGCAAAAAGATTCCTGCATTGCAGTGGTTTGGACTAAATTACCGTTATGGTCCCTTCCAACTTTACAATTCTATGATTCTCTGTCTCCATTGTGAAATTACTTATTTATTTGCAGAGCTGGATATCATCCACATACTGGTAAACATCCAGCCCAACCCTCCCAGCAGCTTCATATAGATGTTGAAAAACATGGTAAAGGTAAAGGTAAAGGTAAAGGTACCCCTGCCCATACGGGCCAGTCTTGACAGACTCTAGGGTTGTGCGCTCATCTCACTCTAGAGGCTGGGAGCCAGCGCTGTCCGCAGACACTTCCGGGTCACGTGGCCAGCGTGGACGAGCTGCTCCGGCGAACCGGCACCAGAGCAGCACACAGAAACGCCGTTTACCTTCCCGCTATAAAGCGGTACCTATTTATCTACTTGCACTTAAGGGTGCTTTCGAACTGCTAGGTGGGCAGGAGCTGGGACCGAACGACAGGAGCTCACCCCGCCGCGGGGATTTGAACCACCGACCATGCGATCGGCAAGTCCTAGACGCTGAGGTTTTACCCACAGCGCCACCCGCGTCCCTGAAAAGCATGGAGGTGAGGACAAAGCCCTGAGGTACCCCACAATTGAGAGCCCAAGGGTCTGAACACTCACCCCCCAACACTGCTTTCTGGACACGGCCCAGGAGGAAGGAGTGGAACCACTACATAATAGTGCCCCCAGCTCCCAAATCCTCTAGATCAGCGGCTCTCAACCTGTGGGTCCCCAGATGTTGTTGGACGACAACTCCCATCATTGCTAGTTAGCAAGGCCACAGCTCAGGGATGATGGGCGTTATAGTATATATAGAGAGAGAGAGTATATAGTATATATATCTGGGGACCCACAGGTTGAGAACCGCTGCTCTAGATGGTCCAGAAGGATACTTTGGCCAATGGTATCAAAAGCTGCTGTGCGTTCCAGCAGAACCATAACTCAGCAGTAGAACTTCTGCTTTGCAAGCAGGAGACCTCATGTTCAACTCCTGTCATCTCCAGGTAGGTCTGTTTGAAATCCTGGAGAGTTGCTGCTAGCCTGTGTAGACTGCCCTGAGCTAGGTAGACCAACGGTTTGATTCCATGTAAAGCATCTCCCCATGTTCCTATTTTCTCCCCTCTCTTTGGTTGAAAAGACTCCCAGCTTTAAAAAGATCAGTCGTAAGGCAGTCCTTGCCCCCAGGCTTACAGTCTCAAAAAAGACACAACACAAAAGGGAAAACGGGTGGTGAGGGAGAGCAGACTCAGGCATCAGGTCCTAAAAGGTTCCGTTCTGATAATGACCAGCCAGCCAGGGTGGAAATGGGAAATTAAGATAGCTTAATGGAACAGCTGCCTCTAGGTGACAGTTACAGGAAGGCCAAAAATGACTCTTGGCAAAGGCATTGGAATATGGCCAAGCTTCTCTTCTTCCTCTGCTCTGCAGCCTGATGGAATGGCTGTCGTTGAGTCATGCAATCTGACAGGTGAGATGCACGAACTTTCACCAGGCATGGTAGGCTGCACCTCTTGGAGAGGATACTGCTTTGCTGGTGCTCTGAAAAATATGGACCTGCTGAGCTTTGCATGCAATTGGGTCCAATTGGGTTGGCTCTACAACATACAGAGACACCTTTCTAACAGTGCCTTACAGTTGCATGTTTTAGGTACATTCCCAAACTGAGAGGGAGGCTAGAACTGGAAGAGCCGATTCTGCCAAACCTCAGACACTTTATTTTCCAATCTTGTCTCAGTGTGCTAGTAGAAAATAACAGAGCCAGAATAGCAATCTAGCAGCTGGCAATCAAACTAGTCTACCAAACACTTGAGCTGCATTAATATATCTGTCCTTAACCACAAACTCTATCTGCCATCTCTCCACCTCCTCTCCTTTTTTTTTTTTTTAAAGTACTCATATCATTCTTTTTTTGACCATAAAAGATTGTAGACTACCCAGCGAGCTGACACCTAGTATCAGATGCAATTCATTTTGGTGTGCTTGTTTGCTTGTCAGAATTATTTATAGCTGCAACTCACCCAAGTCAACTTGTACGACTGCTGTTTCTTTGCAGGGGCAGTTCGAGAGTGGATGGTGAATCTTGAGAGCCATTTAGATAAATGCAGGCAACTGGGTATTTGCAGAGTGGACCACAGGAAACACAGCTGAGTGTATAAGCTTGGTTTTCGCTCTTCCGCGTATTTGGGGAAGGGGAAGGGAGAATGGCAGGTCTCTCTCTCTCTCTCTCTCTCTCTCTCTATATATATAGGGCAAGCAAAATGAGAAAGGGGTTGGAGCAGCTACTTTATGAAGAAAGTTTGCAACATGTAGGGCTCTTTAGTTTAGGGTGGGGAGCATGACAGAGGTTATCTGCAGAGGTGGTTTTAGGGTAGCGCAACCAGCACGGCCGCATTGGGCACCATGCTGCAGGGGGGAGCACAACAATGCTGTAGAATGGAGTGCGGGACACAGGGGGCACAACATTTTAGCATCACACAAGGCGCCACTGAAATTTGAGATCCCAAATTCCGCCACTGGTATATGTATGAATCTTGCCTGCAGAGTTCTGAAGGACTCTAGGTTGTTTTTATTAAAGCAGAGCAATATCAGATTTATTTATTTTTTTAAAAAAAAAAAAACTTAAAATATTTTTTTAATCCTCCAGATGCAACCTTTTTTAAAACTGCACTTCTTGACAAGCTCCTGGGTGCATATGGAGATATAGGGGAGCACACAGTTATTTCTGTTCTGGGAAAAAAATATCCAGAAACAACAGAGCAATACCACAGGTTTTGATGGGACTGAGAGAGGGGGTCTCAGCAATTGCATTGCGAGGAACTTTAAGCCTCTCCTGGTGTTTTAGACTACAACTCGTATCAGCCATACAAGCACAGGGAAGATTGATTTAACCTCTCCCCCAAAGTGAATCTATATTCCACATACAACGCATGTTAGAAAACAACAACCAACATTGTGGCATTTGGCTATTACTTTCTTCTTGTGTGGGCTAGTATCTAATTTCCTCGCCTTCCTATTCTTTTTACAGGTGTTTTGTTTTCGTTGTTGGTACTTTGTACAGGAAGAAGCCCCTTCAGCTACTTTAGAAAACCATTAGTTGCTATGGAAATGCACGTCTGCACTAAATTGCACTTGATTTCTGCGCCTTCACAACTGAATGCTGCTTCTGCCCTGAAGATTCATGCGTACCTGTGATGGCATAGACTAGAGTTGCAGTCAATGACTGCTTTGCTCTGGTGGAAAACGATTCCTCTTCCACAAAGCAGTACGCCTGGTCATAAGCGATTTCCCCCACTCCCTTGCTTACTGCAACCTTCCAGGCTGTTCCTATAGTAGCATCCAGTTCTGTGATAAGAGGCAAGGAGACGAAATCGGCAGGTGTTATAAGAGATGAAAGGATTGGCCACGTTTTCCATGTCCAGCTTGTAAAAAGAGGTAAAATGAATTTGGTTCCCAAAATTCCCCTCCGCAAATGTTGATGCTGCACACTTTCTATTGACAAAGATTCCCCCCAACTATTTGCAGCTGAAACCGTATATTTGATGGGGTTTGATTTGCAATATTGTTTAGCAGTTAACAGCTCACATCCAAGGGTACTTCATATCTGACAGCTTAGCTAAAAGGCGGGGGGCAATTCTCCCTCCACCTTTTTTGGGTGAAATTTCTGGCATAAAAAGGAAATCACTGGTCTTGCGGTTGTTTTTCGGAAAATGGCAAAATTGTTGGTCCATTCAAAGTGAGGGGAATGCTTTGCAAAGACCACTTCATTTGTTATCAAGAACAGTTAAATTCAATAAGTGCTAAAAACTGCACCCTACTATCAGACATGAAATCCATAGGAATAAACTGTCTTACACATTGTTGTTAGAATTCCTGCTCCATGATTGCAGTCATGGGATTTTTGTCTATCACATGACTGTATATGTTTTGACTCCACAGAGTGGGAAGTGACGGAGACAGGATGTTTGTGTTACTGTGTTCCGTGAAGTGGGACTTTTGTCCTTTGTCCTTTTTCTCTTTGCTGTCTGATGCTAGAGAGAGAGGGAGCCATGTTGCAGTGCTCCGTGTGTGTTTATATCTAAATAAAGTAGATTAGCCAAAATGCTGAGTGGCTGAGCTCTGTTACACATGATGCACAAACTCTGTGGATCCCTAAGTGTGCCGGTGTCAGTTGGCATCGGTCACTGTGATGTTTGGGCTGAAGACAGCTTATGAAGCTCCCGAACGATCGACCAGGAGGGAGAGAACATGCCAGTTGGGCATGTGTTTCTGCCAGGGTGCTACTCGAGTGTAGGCTGAACTCCTGACAGTTGTCACACCAGTGCTCCATCTAGCTCAGCATAGTCTACACTGCCTGGCAGAGGTTCTCCAGGGTTTTGGACAAGGTCTTCCCCAACCCAGCAGATAGATGCCAGGGATTTCATTTTGGACATTGTACATGCAAAACGGATGCTCCACAACCGAGCTACAGCCCTTCCCCAAGTATACACATGTCAGTTGTTGTTTAGGACATTCCAAGTGTTACAACACGTCTGAAGAATTACAGCTTTTTGTATGGCATTTAATAGGAATGATGTCATATTATTCTCTCTAGGTTTTAGCTTTAGGTTTAGCTGCTGCTGCCTCTCTTTCTCCTGCCTAGCGCTGCAAATTTCAAGATTTTAGGAAAGATTAGAACAAACCTCTCAGAGGGATTTTGCATAGCTTTAAAAGTTTATCTGCGTCTTCCCTTTAAAATGCACGAAAACTCTCCGGGAAGAAGGGCTCAAGTCAAACAATTATGGCAAATCAGGCAGGTCATCAGCAATTTTATATATATATTAAAAAACACATATCTGGGAGTTTTTCAAGGTAAAATTGTATAGTTGTCTTCAGGCAAAACAGACTGAGAACATTCAAGGAAAGTTGAAGGCTTCTCTTACAAGATTAACAAAAAATGTCAAAGGGAGTTGCAGTTTCCAAAGCTTAAATCTGCAATTCTAGGCATGCT